GCATATTACCCTCTCTGGCGGTACTCCTTCCCATGGTCTATTTAGGGTGCAGAGCTCCCACATTATTATACCAAGACTAAAAATATCACATTTTTCAGTGAAAGGTTCATTACGAATAAGTTCAGGGGCCATCCATTCTGGTGTTCCTGCAGAAGCGTTATCTCTCATGGGTGTTTCTGTCATTATTCTAGAGAGCCCAAAATCACATATCTTCACAGTCCAATGCTTATTCACCAGACAGTTTGCACTTTTTAGGTCACGATGAATTATCTTCATACGGTGTATACACATCAAACCCCTACAAAAGCCAACAAGAAATCTAGTCATTGTAGTATTCGTTACTCATGCATCATTTTGCCATGTTTTGATTGTTTCAAAAAATCTATATATCATATTGCTCTCTCTGTGTTTGGTGTTAAGTATTAAAGACCACCAGAGTATTAACCATAGCAATCCAGTCAATTACTTGTAGAAAGACCACAGAGTGAAAATTATAAAAAAGTAAGCTGTGAATTAAAATGAGCACAAAAAAAAAAAAAAGGAAAGAAAGACGGAAGAAACTAACCCCTTTCATAGTTCTGGATATGTCCATTTTTAAATAAAGGTAAAACAAAAGTAAAACAGCCTGATTTCTAAAATAGAAGTGCCCGTGCCCTACAATACAAAGAAATAAATACTCTTATTTTTTAAAAAAAGATAACATTTCAGCAAACTGCAGAAGTTAACAATGAAAAAGATTGTCCAAATAAATTCCCACCAAAACTTGGCCAATAAAAAGTCCTACCAAGAGCTGTTTCAGCTGGACTTTTGACGTAAATGTCAATTTCATGAAAGTTGCATGAAGCACAGCGAAAATTAAGTACTTCATAAGTGATGGATAGGCTTAACACACCTGCAGATATCACGCAACATTTTTAGTCTCCGCCGCCAGCTGAGCTTCTTCTTCTGACCACTCAAATGAATCAAATAGTACAATGATCCCATCTCCATGTATTCTGTAACCATTGATAACCTCGGTGGCTTTGTACAAGCACCCAAAAATAAGATAACTGCAAAAACCAGTGTACTTGGTTGACTAAACTGATGAAACAAAGAATAATAAATAGAAAATACCTGAACAAGGAAAGTTGTCAGTATTTTATTATATTGACTTTCTAATTTCTTATTCAGGGTAGGGGCATATAGCGGTCCCCAAACTAACAAAAGCTATGACTGAAAACAGAATAAACGTACCATTAGGATGCCGAAGTCGACTGTGTAGAAAAGCGTACACACACAAAAACACAGGACAAAATCAGAAAAACAAATAGATAGCAGAAACTAAATGTTGATCAAGAGAAGAAAAAAGAAAGGGTCACTAAAACTTTCAAATCATTAAAAAAGGCCGTCACTAAAACTTTCGAATCATTAACAACAAGATACCTAAGAATTGATATCTCATTGCAGAAATCTTCCATGTTCTCAGCAGTTAAATCCTGCTCCAAGAACACCTTGATTGCAACATCTGTTCCATTCCATATTCCACGAAAAACTTCTCCAAAGAACCCTACATATTGTCACAACAAAAATTTACCAGTGGAATCAGTTAAAAACTTACCCAAGTGTAATGCATTGTTTCTGAAGCACCATAAATTCTAAGACAGACCAACAGAAGGGAAAATAAGAGTGCTTCATGGTACTTGTTGGTTTAGGATCCATTATTAATTACCTCATCTGGTTTCATATTCGGAATTTTAAGACTAGGGTTTCTGGAACCTATAAGTGGTGTTGTTATGACTCTTTGGGTTATATCTTCGATGACTGAAAATATGTCCCAAACCAATAATTATTATTGCTCTCTTATTCTATTTCTTCCCTTCTGAAAATATGTCCCAAACCAATAATTCTTGCTCTCCTATTCTAATTCTTCCCTTTCTTCCTAAACTCTTCAACTTTCTTCTGTTACACCCTTTTGCTCTGCTTTTCATCATGTGGTCATCTGATGCACAAAGGGGAATCACAGCAATGGCACTGCAGGAAAGTAAAAATAGTGCTTACCAATCCCAACACGAGTTCCCACAGTTAACTCAGAGAAATTGATATTCCATTCTGGATAAGGTAATAAAGGTTTGTTATTGAACATTGGAGATTCAAGAACTTTCTTCCATGTTGAGACCATTTCATCATCCGGCACATAGTCTGAAGGTCTACTTCTTTCTGAGGTTTCACTCCTATATGTGTGTGGGGATGAAGGCAGTGATACAGCCTTATGAGAATTTAGTTGCTCCCGCGTAAACTGCCCACCAGATATATAATCATCGACATCAATATCAAAACTTGATACCTAAAAGAAGGGGAAAATATTAGCAACCACCAACAATTTTAGGAAGGCTAACTTTATTAGTCACATATAGCAACTAAACACTTGAATTGAAACAAGTGCAAATAGATGATCAAGAAAACATACAGTTCTCTGAAGACTTGAATTCTCATTTGTGTCATTTGAAGGATCAGCAAAAGGCTTGTCGTCCCTCCTCTCTCTCAAAAGGCAATTTTGCTTCAAGGCTTCATTCATTGCTCGCACTGCCCTGAAATAGTTCTCAAATATCATTAGTTAAATTATTGTTTAATTAAGGAATGTACAATTAACAGCATCAACTATCCACAGAAAAGTTGGCAAAATAAATAAAACTGTTTGGCATCAGATATGACTACATGAGAGAAAACCAACCCACACTTGATAAATGTACTGTTAATTGAAGCCATGGTGACGTGAACATCAAACCAAGAATGACTTCAAAGATGAAGCTAATTAAAATTCAACTAAATGGCCCAAAAGGAAGGCCAAGAGTTCTGAGGAAATAAATTTATGTTTTGAGTTAGGTTAGAGTCATTGTTTCTATGAGTTACATTCCCTATGATATCAATGTATCAAAGAGAGAAAAGGAATTGGTAGAGTCAATTAAAATTTAAAATATTTTAGAAAGAGAAGAAGATGGATAAAACACTAGGGAAATTTTTTTGATATGTTGATTTTTCAATATGTAAAAGATTTTCCAACAGTCAAAAAATCAAACAAAATAACAACAAAAAGAAAATATCATTGAACCACTGAAGTCAGCCTATACTAAAGGGCACCCTAATAATGGAAATAAGCGATAATCTTACTTATATGGAACCAGAAGAAATTAAATTGAAAACACAAGATAAAATTGCATCAGATGCAACTGGGGAGCATGAGACAAACATCAACCTTACGATATCATCACCAATCTCAGGGGTCATGCTAATGCTTCTTCTTCTTATTCGACGAGCTTCCAATGTTGATGGACCATCTGATCTATAGCTACAAGCAAAATTCAAAAGATAAAATAATCTATCAGGGTAGAACACAACGGCTTCCAGTTTTACATAACAAGAAAGGGATGAAAAGGAAATAGATAATCATCAAAGACAAGTATAATCAAACTCAAAACACTATAAAAAGATAAAAGATACTTGGAATGAATGGGGCATAGCAAGATGTTTGCCAATGCATTTGTACAAAAGAAAATAGTTTATGTTGCATGAATACAGTTGCAGACGAAAACTTAAAAAAGTATACGTTCCAAACTGCCAAATTTTCATATTTAGTAATACACAAATGTTCTGGGGAGAATTCTATACCGCCTTTTTCCCCATCCAACCAGCCACCCCAAGCCAGATTTTAGGGCAAAAGAACAGAAAGTACAAACAATAATATGAATGCCATTCTATTCTTCACCAACTGCCAATTTAAAAAAAGTTTAATTCATTCCTTTTTTTGTACTAAACCCCTCAATATCCAAAAGTCACATTGGACCCGACTAATCAGGAGTCAAGTCACGTCAAACTCTATAAGAGGGAAGCTCTCCCAAGGCTTGTCTCTCCATTTACAAGACTCAAACTTGAGACATTGCTTAAGGGAAACCGAGTTCCTTCCGCTCAGACTAACAGTTTATTGGTAAAAAAATATAGAACCCTTCAGAGAAAAAGAATTGGAAATAAAAGGACCAAGTGGATTATTAATCCATGACCTTTCAGCAAAAACATAATGCAGTCACCTAATCAGCTAGATAATACACTAGATAAGACAATTAGACAAGAGACAGGACTGCCATCCATTGGGACACAAAATGCATTGTTATCTGTTACCTTTCACAAAATATCTGATGTATAATATTAATTTGAAGAGATCCCTAGCTAAGCATATTCAGCTGAAGAAGGCAGGCAAAAAAACTGTTGCCATCCATTAATAATTAACAAAGAAAAAAATCATTTGCAAGATTAAGATCATATAGAAGCTATGCAGAGGAAAATATCAACTCCAATCAACTCAAACTAATTAGAACACAACTTTTTGCTGAATAATTATGCACCCAAAGCAATGGTAAGGTAGCATATAAGGTTTAGCAAAAACTGAATGATGCAACAGCTTTCAATCATAAATAATGTTTATTTTTCAATATATATTCTAGTGGATAAATGAGAAAGAACCTTGATGTAGCAGTCTCATCACTATAATCTCTAAGTGAATTCCTGTCACCACCCAGCATGGACCTTGCATGTGCTCGAAATGATGGATATTCTGGACTGCAAAGCCATCAAAAGTTTGTAGAAGACCTCTCATATTTTATTTTAGAATTTGATGGATTTTGAGATGAACATTTCCTTTACTAACTACAAACTGAAGATATCTATGACAATTGTTACTATACTAATAAATTGAATAAATTGACTGTGAAGCAAGTCAAGGTTATTGGTGATAAAAAAGAGAGAGACTACAAGGAAATACTTCTTTTCATAGCAACTACAAAGCTAACTATTGAGAAAGGTTTCTCTAACCTTTTTTTTTTTTTTTTTAATCAGCGTATCCCTAAACTGTTAATGGTGCATTAACCATTTTCACAATTAATTGTATAGAAAAAATAAAAGTTGACTTTAATTTTATCAACTACCTAATTAAAATTATCCACATGACATCAGTGTTAAAAATAATATCTACTTTTGTGTTTTCCTATAGTAATTAATAGCAAAAAGGTGCAATAAATGCACCCTTAACCTATTTCAAAAAAAACCCATAGAGAAACTTTAAGGAAATACTTG